TGATAACAAGAAGAAAGATGAGATGTCTGATTAGGGCTGCAGTCATTTTCCTGAGAGCAACCAGGAGCTTGCGGTGGTTCTTCACCATCACTGGATCAACACAGCTGACTGAGCGCTGGTTACCCACCAGATGGATGGTTGCTGTCCTGGACCAGAGGTTTATGAAGGTGATGAATTGCATCACAAAGTGACATCACAAAGAGTGGTCAAGGTACTGTTGCCCCTGCACCCAAAACATGGGAGGCCTGCCTTGTTTTTTAGTCAGAAGTTGGGAGTTTGATTCTCCACTGTGCCTTGACAGGGGCTGGACTGCTTCATTCCTAGAGTTCCTTCCAGTTCTACAGTTGAATTATGATGATGATGATGATGATGATGATGATGATGAAGAAGAAGAAGAAGAAGAAGAAGAAGAAGAAGAAGAAGAAGAAGAAGAAGAAAAGGTAACAAGCTGGTATGCTTATGTTCCCATGTTGGTAGCCACCCTTCACATTGTTCATGACACCAAAAAATTGTTTTGTAAGGTCATCAGTTGTCAATTATCTTCATTTGTTCTTTTGTTTGTTCATTCATTGATTCACTCATTAGATTTCTATACCGCCCATCCGACCGATGGTCACTCTGGGTGGTTTACTAAACGAAGGTGAATTACAGCTGGGAGAACAGAGGCACGGCCAAGACCTTCTAGTCTGGAAGAGAACTCTTCCACCACCTCTGTGATGTAAATGAAAACTGACCACACTCTACCTGTCTAGCTCTGTTCTTGTGAAATACCCCTTCTTCTAAAAGTCAGAGTCTGGAATATTAGCCTGATTGTCAAGGCCTTGGGCAAAGTCTGTCATACTGCGGTATTGAAGGACTAAGGAGGTAGTTCCTTGTGGGAGAAGTTTTAAAAGGATGTGTTCAGTTTTGTAGATTTTGGCATTTCATAAACCCTACTTCAAACCCAGTTGCAAGTGGCTGTGTTTTGTCTCCAGTCTTGTCAGTACTCAGCAGCTGACGTCACTTCTATCTTTTGGAAAGGTTCGTTCTCAAGAAAAACTCCGGTGCTCCACTCTGGCTAAAAACACCTGGACTGTTCTGAAGTCCTATCTGTCCCTTTTCTTTTCTTCTCTGAGATCGTCATGAAACAAGGAAACATGGGGGTAATCTTTGGGAGTCTGCAAAGAGGCAAGGATTTGAGCAGAGGTCATAAAACAAAGCCACAAAGGAACTTCAGAATTGGGGTGGCAAAAATGGGCTACCCTTCCCATCAACGCACAAGCAGGCTGAGGAAGGTGGGAGCTAGAATCCAACACATCCACCATTCCTTTAGACTCCAGAACTGACCCCCAAGGCTTCCACTTCCCATTTCTCTACTTACCTGTTTTTCTGGCTTTTTCTTCCTGTCCTGAAATAAACAGAGAGAGAGAGAGAATTTGAAGCAGAGAAAGGCTTTCAGAAGTGCTTGAACTAAGGCTCCAATGCATGATATATAAATGTTTGTTTGTTTGTTTGTTTGTTTATTCTATTTATTCTATTTATACCCCGCCTATCTGGTCATTTCGACCACTCTAGGCGACACAGAGATCAGGGATGGGGAATCTACAGCAGTGGTTCTTAACCTTTTCGAAAGAATCACCCCCTTGAGCCATTGAGGAAGTTATCATCGCCCCCCCTCCCCCAGGTTTGGCAGCACAGTGGTGGTGATAGTGGTACTGGATCCACTGCCAGCACCAGTTGCTCTGGATCTGCCTGCCGGATCCACTGCCAGCACCGCGGCTGCAGCTGCCTTCTCGGGTTTGGCTTGCTCCATCGCCCCCTTCTGTTCCTTCACCCTTGCGTCGCCCCTTTTTGTTCCATCACCCCTCTGAAAAACCAAATTGCCCCCTGGGGGGGTTGATATCGCCCAGGTTAAGAACCACTGATCTAGACTTCCCTGTCTTATTGTATGCTCTCTTTATCAGATACCAGATCAGACAGAGAAGGCAAGAAACAGCCTAGCCACTGGTATTAAGTTGGTTCTGTTATTCTTGGTGGAGGAATGATAAGGGAAACCACAGTCATTACAGTGGTACCTGGACTTGAGAACGTCCCTACATAAGAACGATTCGAGTTAAGAACGGCTCTGTTCGCAAAAAGTTGCTTCGACTTGAGAACGGAGCCTCAACTTAAGAACCAAAAAAACCACAAAACTTTCCTGCCTTTTTTGACCTAAGTTCACCTTAAGTCAAAAGAAGAAAAAAATCGCCCCCTAGTGGTAGATACAGATTAACCAGCTTCGACTTAAGAACAACGCCTCAACTTAAGAATGAAAAACAGCAGATATGGATTAAATGGTTTTCAGTGCATTCCTATGGGAAATGGTGCTTCGACTTAAGAACGTTTCAACTTAAGAATGCAGTCCCAATATGGATGAAGTTCTTAAGTCGATGTACCACTGTATGCAGCTCTTCCATTTTGCCCCAGTGCAAAAGGGAAAGCTGCTTTGCAACATCAGTGCTCCTCTCCTCTCTTTGGTGTAAAATAGGATTGTGGTTTCTTCTTCACCTTCCTAATTTTCCAGTACTGCAGTGATTTTACAGATACTGTGTAGTTGTGAGTGTGGAATCTCATCATTAGAGCAAGAGCTTAAAATATAGAGAAAGCTTTGCTAACACTTTTCCTAATATTCTTTGCTGCAAGGAATTTTGGTCAGTTCTAAAGGACATGAAGGGACGTGGTGACACTGTGGGTTAAACCACAGAAGCCCCTGTGCTGCAAGGTCAGAAGACCAGTAGTCGTAAGATTGAATCCACGCAACAGAGTGAGCTCCTGTTGCTTGTCCCAGCTCCTGCCAACCTAGCAGTTCGAAAGCATGTAAAAATGTGAGTAGATAAATAGGCACCACCTCAGTGAGAATGTAACACTGTTCCGTGTCTAGTAACGCTGGCCATGTGACCACGGAAACTGTTTTCAGACAAACGCTGGCTCTATGGCTTGGAAATGGGGATGAGCACCGCGCCCTAGAGTTGGACATGACTGGACTAAATGTCAAGGGGAACCTTTACCTAAAGGACTTGAAGAAGAGAGAATGAGCTTCATCTTCAAAGGATTTGGAAGCTCATTTTAATAATTGCTTTGCTGTTACATTAGATAGGCCCTGTGGAGGCAAGTTTGCAAGTAACACCTTACATATATTGATGTTACCTGTAACACGTTGTTTTTGAGGTAATGACATTTAAACAGCAACAGCTGGTAGCACTTTTATATTTTAGTGTAGAAACAAGGGTCATTTCTTCTGAGACATTGTTATTTGAACACATGTTCTATTCTTTAAATAATGGGTAACAACAAATTGCTTACTTAAAAAAATCTAAATAATCAGTGTGCATTTTTTAATAACAATTTTCTTCATTCTAATGTGGAGACAATGAGCAAAAGCCCTGTACAATCTGCGAAGGCATACTTATTTTCTCCAGCCCTGATGTACCTTTGTCCAGGATTGTGGTACTTGTCTACATATGTTTCATCTGGGTGAATCTTTGGTTAAAAAAAGAAGAGTGATGGGCATTCTTTAGGAATGTTAAGGTGGTTCCAGATCATTCTGGTTCTAGATAATTCTGATTTGTTGCATTTAGTATTCCCCATCTAGCACCTTTCAGATGTGTTAAACTACATTCTTCTATATTCTGACACCCCGTGGGTATTGGCTGTATGGACTGGGGATGTTGGGAAGTGGAGTCCATATCTGGAGAGCACCATCTTGTGGAAGACTGGTTTTGGTCTTCAGATGCACCAGATTGCTATTTATGATCTGAATATTTTAAGATTCCCCAAAGAACTCTCTTTAAAAGAAAAGAAGAATTAAATAGTAAAATCTAGAGCTGACCTTTCTGAACCTCACTTTGTGCTTCTTATTCTCTGCACAGATCCAAAGGAGTGCCTACTCCGTCTTCTTTGATGAGAGATTTTCAATCCCTTTAGATCCCTCTGCGCTGGAGGAAAACAGCTTGAGATTTTCTGTCTTTGGCATTGATGAGGATGAGAGGAACATCAGCACTGGAGTTGCAGAGCTGAAATTGTCAGATTTGGATCTCTCTATCAGGCCTTTCAATGCATGGTTATATCTTCAAGACATGAACAAGGTACGTTTGCTTTCCTAGTGCATCCTCTCATGTGGGAAGGTGAGGTCATTAACTCAGGCAGCTGAATTTGGGGAGGGTATGGGTTAAACATGTTTTCCCCCCTTAGTATTGTGTTTTTGGATTTCTATTGCTGTGGAAAAGGACTGATAATTCTGGGATTTTTTGCCAGAGGTAGCTTAGCTGGCTCTGTTTTTGAGATGTTTTGGACTTCAAAAGCAGTGGAGAATGTGCAACTAGACAACTATCAGGTGTTCTTCATTATTCTATGCTCTTTGAACAGGCATCAGAGCAGGAGGCCATGGTTTATTGTGTTTCATGCTTTGGCAACACTGTTGGGAACAAGAAGTCTAGATGACATCTATAGTTCCCTTGAGAAATGGTGGTGCTCTGGTCAGCTGTTTTGGTTATCTGAGAGTCCCTCAGATTCTGTGGCCTTTCTTGCTAATATTTCTCACTGTCAGGAAATGAGGAAGTAATTTCAGCCATTTCAGGTTCTTTTGCAATTCTAATAAAAATGAGTAATTAATTGTTTCTTTCTTTTTTCCCTATAGGCAACTGATTCAGTAGGAGAAATCCTGCTTTCTCTGAGCTATCTACCAACAGCAGAGCGGTTGACTGTGGTTGTGGTTAAAGCCAAGAATCTTGTGTGGACCAATGGCAAAATGACTGCAGGTCAGTAAAGAGTCATGAAATATTCGTGCTTGATAGATTGTGAAGATGCTACTTTGCATCCTAGCAGGGAGATTAGTAAAGCCTGTGATGTATTTTGCGCCCAGTTTGGCACACAGAGCCTTCACTCCTACATCTGCAGAGTTATGAAAAACAATGTTTTCTTACTTACTTATATCTATATAAATCATATAGCTATAGATACAGGAACATGCAGTCTTGCCTTGTCCAGTCCTGTCATATAGTCATGACCCATGCATGCCTTGTGCCAGATATTGTCCTGTCTTATAGGGAGAGATGTTGAGTGCTGCTCACCTATCAAATAGCAAAACCTCTGAGAGCCATAGTACATATGAATGTGTGAAGATACCCATCTTAAAGAGAGGAAGAGCGGGGCAGTCTCAGTTGAGTGCGATGGAGGGGAATTAACCTCCACCTCCTGCAGTTTCCCCTGTTGTGCTCCCTGGTCAGACAGTTTTCACTGAGAAAATGGTAACCTCTCCTCCTGTCAGCTCTTGTTTTGTGAAATTACATGAAGTCTTCCAAAGTAGTAAAATCACATAAAACTTGAGAAAATTCCTTTACCGAGATTCCAGGAGGCCTGTGTTATTGGCTCCCTGCTGACGGCCCAACCTCAGTTTACTGACAGTCACTTGCATTTGAGTGTGCTGGTGTGGAGTTCGTGCTGGGCTGTGGCCACAGCTAACTTTGTCTTTTGCTTGAATACGCCTTGGAACGGATTTAGAAATTCCTTTTAAAATGCCATTGATTAATTTCTTGATAATCATCTGTGTATTCTCACAGTTTTCTCAGCCAGTTATTTAAGTTGATACTGAAAAAGCGTGGAGAGTAATTTTGAATTGACTAACAATTCAATATGCATTGAGTAAATGCATATTTTAGCAGCATTAAAATAATGTATGAAGTGTTTTTCTCTCTCTCCCGAAAAAAGGACATAAATAAATGGTAAGATAACAACACAATGAGTAGGCACCCTACAATGTGCAAGACAATTCCAGAATAGCCGTACAGGCATTTAGAGTGAAACCACTTTAAGTTTTATGATAGAATGATTCACAAAAGTGTTTAATGAAGAAATATCAGAAAATAAAAAGCATTACCCATTAATGTTATCTTAATTATTGAGTTACTCGGTTTTTGAGGTTTTTTAGGAATATGAGAAGCAGGGCACAATATGGAAGATAGGAAAGATAATTTTCATCTATCTTTTTGAGACTTTTCTAGCTGTTCCCAAAGCATCATCTTGTCAAGGCCATCATCAAGTATTCCGGAATGTCACTGTTTTTGGCACCAATATTCAGGCTGCTGAAAGAACCTTTAGCAGAAACTGAAAATCTCTAGGAGGTTGTTTTCTTTGAAGGATATCAGAAGAGACTGGTTGGCTTCCAGTTTTAATGAACTAGCTTTCTCATGGTCATTGCAAGGTTATGGCCAGACCATCTAACATGTATATTTTCATGTTGCTGTTATTCCATTCTACCCAAAAGTAACTGAATATGCTGTAACACTTTGAAAGACTAGTATAAAAAAAACTAGCCTAAAACATGATTTTCACTCAACAATACAAAGGAGAAATTTGCACATCCTTTTACACTGCCACAGGAATGTGGTGTAGGATTTTAGTGGAAGTAGCACTGAAATAAGTTCCAGAGGTAAGATTTTCAGGCATAGAACAGCTTTCTTGGAATTCTTTTAAGATGATCTTCTTATCCACCATTTCAGATCCTTTTATAAAGGTGTACTTGCTGCAGGATGGGAGGAAAATCAGCAAGAAAAAGACTGCAACAAAGAGAGATGACCCAAATCCAGTATTTAATGAAGCCATGATTTTCTCAGTGCCAGCAATTGTCCTACAGGTAATAGCACTCTGGTCCAAAGGAATGAGTGAATGAGTAGCTGCACCACAGGTCAAAGAAATAGTATACAGGGCAGCTTAACCCATTTTAACTCCTATAAGGCTTCCAACTCAAAGTCAGGCACTACTGAGAGATTGACATTGCCACTGTCAACATTTATTCCAGCTGTATCAAGTGGAAGGTTCTTTTTCGGAACTAGGTAAGGTTTACGTTGCTACATCCTTGGCCTGATGTACAACCTTATTGAATTGACTGTTTGGGGGTAGAACCTACAATTTTCTAGGTGCTGTCCCCATAAAACCTAGCTGGCAAAGCCAATAGTTGTAGTTTGTGAACATTCTAGCCTAATATTTGGTGGGCTCCAGGTTTTTGACACCTGGTCTGCTTTTAGATTCTAAGCTGGGGTGACTAGATTCACTTGGCTTCTCCATAGTGTACATAAGAGCAAGTAAGCCACAGCATAAGGAGTCTGATGTTAATCCTTTTAATTTAGCACTGTCTGCTATGACTAGGAACAACTCTAAAGTCCCAGACTGAGATTTACCCCAGCCTGTGTCTTAAGATCTTATTTCGTTATTTATGTATTTAGTTATTTTGCAGTGAGATATGCCGTCTTCCAGTGATTTTTACGTTGTTGTGGTTGTGGGTTTAATTCATGGCATAGAGATATGCCCTGGGGAAGAAAGGGGCATACATTAGTCTGCAAGGAGTGGTACAGTCCAAACTGCTCAGACAATGTAACGCCAGGACGGGTGGGATATCTGGCCTAGCTGCTGGGGTTAAGAAAACTTAAGCATTCAAAGCAGCTAAATCTCTGCCACTTGGCCATGTGTCCATATACAAAGTGGGCCAGAGGTACATAAAATTCAGCCTCAATGGCTTCGTGGTTTTATCTCTGAAAATACTTTAGAGGTTCATTTGTGTGAGTTAGTTGGCGTGCAGTTTGATCTCAAGGCTAGTTCACATGCCCTTATAAGCAACGTTGATAGGTAACTGTTTGCCCTCCAGATATTTTTGAGTTCCATTCCCAGAGGTTCCAGCCAGCACAGCCATTGGGAGAAATTATGGGATTTCTAATCTCCAAACATTGGAGGTTCAGAATTCCCCACTCTTGAGCTCACCCTTGCCAACTTAAAGGCTTGTCTTGAGGATATATGAATCCAATTTTATTACCCACTAAAACCTCCCATATTAAAGATGTATAATGTGAATGTGACCTTCAAATGAGTTCAGACGAAAATATTAGTAGACATCAGCTTTCTTCTGAACAATAACAAGAAGATTAGCCTTTAGATCTCCTGTCATCTCCTGACATCTATAGCTTTTTCTGAAACTTTCTCACTTCATGAGATTTTCTTGACAGGAAATAGATTCTGCCTTCAAAGTTTTTGGCATACAAAGCAGAGACTTTCAAATTAAACTGTGAGAAAAGTAAGCCAACAAAGGCGATGTAAACAGAACCACCACATCCCCTGGAAGGCAGAATATATAATTTCATTTGCTTTTCAGTCATTCAAAAGCTTCTGTGCTGGAAGCTAATACAATGTATCTGAAAGAAAAATCTCCAAAAGAGATAATATAGAGGAAGTTCTATTCACCATTGGAGACAAGAAAAAGAATGGGTTACCATAACAACCAGGCAAAGGCCTACTGCTGTGGCTTATCACTTCCTTTCTTGATTATAAGAGAATCATGTTCTGGACATTGCCCTGATGAGAATGGGGAATTAGAGGTAAAGGTTAGGTATACAATTTACATTAATTTGCTAGTGGCTCAAGTGAGGTAAGACCAAGACACTTTGCTGCTTGAGGCAAAGCAGCAAGTGGTATTCCTTATCCATCAAAGTCCAAATATATAGTCCCAAAGTAATTGGAAGTAGTTCTTAGGCATTACTTTCCTTTTAAAGTAACAATGTTGGTCATTTTGGTGAAATCTTGTGAGAAACAGAGGAAGGTCTATCTATTATAATGAAAATACAAATTAACAACCATTAATATAATCAGTTATATATTTGTGCTCTGACAGCTAGTCCAGTAAGATTTTTTAAAAAAATTCTGTATTATTAAAAATATAGATCAAGACTATAATATGAGGAGATTTCAGCAAAGTGGTATCCTCAGATTTAGATAGACAGCACTCAAGAACACATTTCATAATTTGGCTCAAGAAAACGATTTGCTTGACATATATAGAGCTTTTATCATTCAGCAGTATGAGATTATACATTATATTCAAATGTCCACAATACTTGTTCAAGAACCAAATCACTGGTTAGAAAAAGTATGGCAAGTAGTAGAGGGTATAAAAGCAACATGTAAGAGAAGATAACAATACCTGTTTATAGAACAACGGGCATTCATTTTAAATCATTGGAATAACAAGATTATTAATATAGCTTTATCCATAAAAATATTTTATCTAATTATAATTAAAGTTGAGTCTCTTCTGCCTTTGTAATAGAATAGGTAGGAATCTTTATAAAAGAGGTACTGTTTGTCAAAAAGAATTTAATATGGTGGGTGGAGTTGTGGTGGATAGGAAGCAATATAAAAAATGTACAATTTAAAGTGATGAGGAGATGGTACTATATATGATGATAATTTACTGTCCTCTTTGCTTTAAAAGAAGGAAGTGAAATACTGTAGCAGTGTTGGTAATGTGTTATTTCAAGTTCTGATTTTGGTATATCTACTTGTGCCTAATGTGTACTGTTTTTGTGTCAAAAATCCTGGTTCTCAGATTCATTTTTCACATTAGAAAATTGTCACATACTTTTCTTGTGCCAATTTTTGGAGCCTCAAACAATAATCAGCAAATGAAGGTGGGGGGAAGCCTATAAAGTACTGAAGATATGTCTAGGTATAGAGGACCACATTAGTAGGGAATCTTGGATCTGAACCCCCTTTCCCCATTTTTCCTAAGTCTCTCCACTGATAACTTTTCTAGAATTTCATGTAGCAACCAGAACATCTCCTGCGTCACATCATCGTTCTCTGTGGGATGCCAAGCCTAGCTCTTTCCCTCTAGTCTTGAGAAGGGTTTTTGGGTGCAGGAACATGTATTTTGCATGCTTACCTTGGCAATCCATTGTGCAGTTCCTTTTCCAGACAGTTTGGGACAAAAGGGAAAGCAGGGCTTGGTCCTGTAAACAAGCTGAAAAAAAAAATCTATACTGTTAATAACAGCTTCACATTAAGGTTGCTATAGTCTTTAGCCCAGAAAGAAATGCAGCCTTGCCTTTCTAAAAAGAGTTGACACTTCAATTAATTCTTATTCATGCAGACTAGACTTTTATGAGTAATAACACTGTGTTAGCCCTCATGATTTTTGTATAACTGGATTTTTTTTCATCCAGTGAATGTATAAGCAAGTCCAAATACTTTGTAGCTTTTGATGTACCGTGTGCTGTTCATTATTTAGACTTCAGAGTTTGAACTTCTGTGAGTGGGATCATATCTTTTTCTGTAGCTCTCTAGTGTATTTCTGTTATTTTTTATTGATTATGCATGTAGTGCCATGGCAGGACATGATGCTCTAGAGAGTGGAAGAGGACATGTGTATATCCAACGGAATTTGCTATAATTTGGGAAAGTAAGGATAGAATGTGTAATTATTTTAGTTATACATACATAGCCGTGAGTGCTATGATCCATTGTGGCAGGACAGATTTGGGAAACCTTTGGCCCTTAGATAGTTTGGTCTACATTTCCCATCAGCCCCAGTCAGCATGTCTCATAATAAGAGAGTGGGCATTGTAGTCCAAAACACTAGGATAGTGAGTAGAGATGGACACCAACCTCAGTTTGGAGGTTTGTGCCAGTTTATACATGTGGCACCTTCTCTTTGCCCTGCATGGCCAGCTGGATCCCCCACTCACCAGCTGGTGTGCACTCCTCTCCTCTTGGAGAGGAGACTGGCAGGAACATGGGCTCCCCGTCCTGCCTCCTTGGCTGCTTAGCCTTCACTCAGACAAGGAGGCTGGACAGGCAAAGACGTGTTCCTACTGGAGACTGGTTGAACAGCCAAAGGGGAGGAAAAGAGGAGCATGTTCCAACTGGTGAGTGTTTCATTGGCTGGGGAGGCGGTGGAAGGGAATATGTAGCACCTGTAGTGCCACGCATACAAACAGTCGCAAACCTCCAAATAGAGGTCTATGCCCATCTCTGATAGCCAGATGTTCCTCACCATTGCAGGAGGGAATCCCTAATACAGAATTCTAATCTGCCTGTTTGATGCTTGAGAAGTCTCTTGAGTGTTTCAGGTATGTTACTAAAACTACTGATGGGAGAGACCAAATACAGTGGGGTCTTGACTTAAGAACGGCGGTGGAAGGGAATATGTAGCACCCGTAGTGCCGCTCATACAAACAGTCACAAACCTCCAAATAGAGGTGTATGCCCATCTCTGATAGCCAGATGTTCCTCACCATTGCAGGAGGGAATCCCTAATACAGAATTCTAATCTGCCTGTTTGATGCTTGAGAAGTCTCTTGAGTGTTTCAGGTATGTTACTAAAGCTACTGATGGGAGAGACGAAATATATGAAATAAACATTCTAGGTCATTCACACTTACTTTTCCAGATGTAGTTTTGGCCCAACCTTGTGTGGAGTTGCACATAAGTGAATTTCATGTAGAGACAGGTTGAATTATCACAGCTACCAGTTACTTGTGTATTAGGAGTTCTTATGAGGTCGTAAGTTTGCCGTAGAGGTCCTAGGGTCAATGCAGCAGTTGCTAAGGCTGTGGCTACTGTTGCCCCACCTGGATAGCTGTGTATGGCCAATGACAGCATAACTGTATAATCTCACCTTGTAAAGCTTTCTGTACATCAGGAATAGAGAATGGGTGCCCCTTAAGATGTTGGACAGCAGCTCCCATCAGTCCTAGCCATCATAGCCAGTGGTGAAGGATGATGGAAACTGAGGTCCAACAACACCTGCAAGGCCAAAGTTACCCAGTTCTGCGTATTCTTGAAGACTTTCACACCCGGGATCCAATGGTTGTTGTAGTTTTTTGGGGCTGTTTGGCCGTGTTCTGGAGGTTTTTCTTCCTAATGTTTCACCAGTCCCTGCGGCTGGTATCTTCAGAGGACAGGAGTTAGAACTCTGTCCTCTGAAGATGCTGGCCACAGAGACTGCCGAACTGTCAGGGGGAAAAACCTCCAAAACATGGCCAAACAGCCCAGGGGGAAAAACCTCCGAAACATGGCCAAACAGCCCTAAAAACTTACAACAACCGTTGCCCAGTTCTGCTGGCTGTACTTTATTTGGGCTGTAAGAGAAACCACAAATGCTAGTGCAAAGCCCTGCTCACCAAAAACTGATGGACAGAGGGTAGGATGTTTAGAGGGAAGGCAAGAGGTGTTAAGATACCCTGTTGCTTCCCAGACATGGGACTGAACTTTACTGTAGGCTGCTAATTGCACTTCTGTATCTTGTACTGGTCTGTAAAATTGGAGTTGGATCCCATTAAAGGTGCCACAGTTGTGTATAGTGGAGTGTTGCTAATGTCTCTTTAATGTCCTTGCAGGAATTGTCTCTTCGGGTGACTGTCGCAGAATGCTGTGAAGATGGGAGGGCCGAAAATATTGGCCACGTTGTCATAGGCCCAGCAGCAGGTGGCATGGGCATCACCCATTGGAACCAGATGTTGGCCACCTTGAGGAAACCTGTGTCCATGTGGCACCCGCTTCGGAGAAGCTAAGGGCCCCTTTGAGCTTCCTTGTCCATTTGGCATGGTGCCTGAACTCTTCTTATGGGCAGATGCGGTTGGCAAATGATGCTTAGGACATCTAAGAGCGAAAATCTTTCTCAGATATTTTTCATGAAATGGAGTAGCAGCTACCGAAAATAAAAGAAACAAAACAAAACAAAAGAGACCCAACTGTCAAACAAGACCAGACAAGCTTTAGGAAAGCTTAAGAGCTAAAATTGTAAGAGTGGAAGCCATTTAAGTTCCAAGGACCACTGCAGTGGGTTTTGGACAAGTGGAGTGGTCTTTGGGCACTTGTTACTCTGACAGCACCAGCTAAATTTCAGAATTTATTTTATATAGGGTTTTGAAGACCCCATGTGGTTTCCCCTGTAACCTAGGAGGGGGTTGGAGGGAAACACTAAAGGTATATTAGCCACTTGAATTCACCTAGTTCTTAAATGTACTGTATCTGCTTGGAAGTTGGAGCCACTATGAATATTGCTTTGAAATAAGGATTGGAATCACAATTTTGCATCTCAGTTCTTGCCACACTTACTGGGAAGCCAGTCTCATTCACTTCAGTAGCATTCGTTTTTAACAAAGGTGGTTTTAAGAAATGTGTTTAGGGTCGCACAGTTCTGTGAATAGAGTCACAGCCATATTCACCACAGAACAGATTTTCAAAGAGTAACCATGATAATCTGTTCTAAACAAAGACTACCAAGGGGCTGGTTAGTGTTAAGGACTGGTTTATTATAGCATGAACCTTTACTTAGAGAGGCCTTCCTGTCCAGATTCATGAAGTGAATTTAGATCTTTCATCTGCTGACTATGAAGCAGGCCCATGCTACCAAAAAAGAAAGAAGAAGAAGAAAGAAATCCATTTTAGAGGTGTTTGAGACTCCTTGAGGCTCTTTGTCTTTGCCCTTCCCCCCTTGGTGGTGGTATTAAATGATATAGCATGACAAGGGAAATCACGTATCACTCTAAGAACTATTAAGGCTATGGTGTAATCCTGTACTTACCATCACAAACAGCATAATCCTGTACATATCCATTCAGAAGTAAGCTTCTTTGAATTGAGTTAAACGTACTTCCTCAAAAAGATATAAGGGTCGGGGCAATTCTATCCCACATTATATGGTGAGGCTTAACTTCAGAGTTAATTTGGACAGAGATATCCCACACAAAGGACGTTTCCTACTGTTTCACGGGATACAGTATTCTATGAAGAGAGGTAACCTGTCTCTAGGCCTATGGATTCTGTATTGCCAAAAGCTGTTTGAAGAATGGAAGACTGTGGAGATAATGTTGTATGAATGTTGTAATGCTTGAAAAGTTCCTCCTTAGCATGGTAAGTTGTCTAGATGCGTTTCTGTCCATCACCATCCCAGCCATAGGATTATAAATACTTGCATTCTGATAACAGATGAGTGGGAATTTGAAAAAGCTGGTGAAACTGGTTAGCACTTCAAAGAGGCAGGGCATGACAAGCTGAAAATGTTCTCTTTTTAATAAGAAGGTGTTGTGATAACTCCTTATAGCCAGTCATTCAACTTCCTGAAATTATGTGAATAAGTGATTTTAATCGAATTTCAAGAGAAGATGCATCATCGTCATCGTATTTATTGTTACTATTACTCTTGATTCTGTTCCTGCTACTGTAGTACCCCGTATTACATTTTACCCCTCCATTATTAGGTAGTGCTCAAGGTTACTGTTAGATGTTTAATCAGAGCTTGGAAATGTTATGTTTTGGGGCTTCAGCTCTCAGAATCCTACTGGCTGGAGGATTTTGGAACTTGTAGTAAAAAAAATGTTTCCAAACTCTACAGAAAGTCCTTAATTGGAGCAGTACTGCTGACCAGTTTGACCTCAAGCTTTTGTTTGTTTGTTTTGTTTTCCTTTCTCTTAAGTCATATTTTGAGGGCGTCAGCTTTCATATGGTTCAAGCTCTGCTGCTGACCTGGTAATTTCTGTGTTGAATGTGAACCTGTTTGACATTTGGAATTTTTCAAGAGTCACCTTCATTTTCTATCTTCTGAACCTGAACAAACTCTGCCATGAGTCAACATTTACTGTTCTGCTGAGACCTAAGAAAGTTCTTTTGCATGAAAGGTTTTGCATGAACTGGAGGAGAGGATATTTTCCACTCCATTTAATGCAGGTAACCAGCTGTTAAATGTTCCTTCTGCACAAACAAATAGCCACAATGGGGCTGGTTCTACATCTGGACAGGAGGAGGCACATCTGGATTAGTTGAGTTCATATGTCCTAAGGAGTCTTTTAAGAACAGGCTGGCACGATGTGAATTTGCACTGTCCGGTGGAAGCTTTGCTGTATGCCAGAAAAGATGAGGAGCAAGGGGAAGTTTGGGTGAGTTCAGCCTGACATTCAGTGAACTGATGCCCACTCTATTGAACGCTCAATGCTGTTAAAAGATAAAAATGATCACAATAGGACAATCTGAATTAAATTAACAAAGCTGCAGAAGTGACCTTCGTACATGTTGGAAGCAATCCAGTGGTGCTTCCAGGGTGGAAGGATTAGACAACTGGGTGCTTTCGGAGCCCAGGGACACCTAAATGTGTTCACAGTCCTCAGATTCTTCAGGGAGGCTCACGCATTGCAACAGCAACAGGTTAAAACCAAATCCAGGATATGTTTAAAAGAGAGCTAGAAACATGAAATGCAATCAGATAGGCACTTTAAAGAGAGCCTGACAAAGGTAAGTGTGTGTCATGGTGCTCCCTCTGCCTTTGCTGGCAACCACTGCTTAACTTTGGAAAACAAGGACACCCGATGAACAGCTACTGCTGGCTTCCTCGGTGTACAAAAGCTACATGTGGGAGAAAGTGTATCTTCAGACTCTCAGGCCCCAAGAGGTATATGGCTAGGGAGGAGAAAGGATGTTACCTGGTTAGCCTGTGTCTGAGACTGTCGCTGTACGTTTCCTTCTGATACCAACTGTGGCAATAGTCTTTGGTTCTTCAGTGACTCTACAAAAACTTGCCATTTTGTCACTGCATTATTTCCAGGTCTGCTTTAGCTTCTTGGGAACCATAATAAAGAGGTAGCCATCTTTAATCCCTGTTCCACTCCCCTTTTCCCTTAGGCACTGACCAAAAAGGTAAAGAAATTAACTTGTGAACATATTAGGGCAGCTGTTATTCACAAATGCAATGGTGTCAAATTCTGTGGCCTTGTGCTTATCATCTAGCTTGGGGTTCAAAAGAAGCATTACATGTAAACAAAAACTGACGCAAGACATTTTGTTGAGGTAAAGAACAGTACTATCCTACTCTCATTCAATCTAGTAACCGTTGTCTGAAACGGCAGTATCAGTCAGACTACAGGAAGGGCCAAACCTGCCTAAATCTAAGCCTTCTTTTCCCTTGGATGCATTGATTTAGGTTTCTCAGAGCTTTTCACACAGTTACAGGTTCTGCTACATATTTTCTATGTACAGCCTCTCCTTCCTCAACAAAGCTCTTGTTATTTCCTCCTCTGCTGCCAAAGGAAAAACATAGCAGAATCTCTTAAATCCCCCTCTTGAAGCTAGAAGCAGCAGCTGGGATGGCTCCATAAGGACGAAATACTGTCTAGCCTACCATAATATAGTTCTGTTCTTGGACAGAAAGAAATATTGAATTCTTTCCAGGCAAGGAAACAGCGTTGGCTGGCCTGGTGGGAGGGTGGAGGAAGTGCTGCTTTTTGCCCAGGCAAGTTAAAATTACATGTCTAGAGTTTTGTTTTGTCTTAATATCTAGAGGCAATACAAAGTGAATGAACTATCCTTTCCATCATCATGAGCATTAATTTGTGTTTCACTTTGTGGGGTTAATAATATTTTTTTAGCATATCCAAAAATAAACTATTTGATTCCTTTCATCATCCAGTAGGTATGTCTATGGAGAAGCTTGCTTTATTGTGAAGCCCACTCACTAGTGATAACTGGACCAAGAGACTTGCACAATATCCATTTAAGTGTCCACATAATTATGTGGGATTTGTTAGAATCTTCATGAAGTTGGCAGGCTAAGGATGGCTTGTTTGAAGATGCCGGCCACAGAAACTAGCGAAACGTCAGGAAGAACAACCTTCAGAACACGGCCAAAGAACCCGAAAAACCCACAACAACCATCAGATCCTGGCCGTGAAAGCCTTTGAGAATACATTAAAGTCATAAGATCTATGAGTCACAGTACTACTCAATATTTGGTACTGAATAAGTACTTCCAAATTTAAAGCGTTCAGTCACCTTTCAGCCAAAGTGTGAGGATTTTTTTTAAGTATTTGCCAATTGCATAGTTCTAGCCTTCTCTCTTTTTAGTCGGTCGTAATTGTACTTAAAATTTGAAAAGAAATTTACTCCTTCATTTTCTTTTAACAGAAATGATATTTTTATTTTGCAAGCCACTGACTTGGACTAGTAAAACAAACTTGCCCCCTCCATTTTCTCATTGTCTCTGCATCCACCACAGAAAATAAAGAGAAATGTGGATTAAAAAAAAAAAGAACTAGGGGTTCTCTCTCCTGCTATCTTACGGTCCGTCCTTGCAGTTTAATAGATTTGTCTATTTATTTATTTTACGTTGTTTCAGAGTGTTCCTATATTGCTTTTCATTTACTCTGCTTCCCAGAGTAGACCTTTGGTCTAGATAGGCGGAGTAGAAGTCTAATAAATAACATTCCCAAAGGAAATCCAATAAAAAAATAAAAGAAGAGCCCCAGTCAAATCCATTAATTGCCTATTAACATACAGTAATTGATAAAATTTGTAATACAGTGGTGCCTTGCTTAGTGACATTAATCCGTGCAGCAAAAATCGCTGCTAAGCAATTTTGTGTCTAAGCGATTTTAAAAAGCCCATAGAAACGCATTGAAACCCCTTCAATGTGTCCCTATGGGCTCCAAAACTCAACTTAAGCGGAAATCCTCCATTGCGGTGGCCATTTTCGCTTCCTCTAAAGCGAGGCAAAACAGCGGGTGGCCATTTTGGAACTGCTGATCAGCTGTGCGAAAATGGGGGCTTTGCGATGATTGCGGGGACCCGCGATCATTGCAAAGCCCCACCAATCAGCTGTACAAAAATGGGGGCTTTGCGATGATCGCGGGGACCTGCGATCATGGCAAAGTGAATTTTCCCCATACAAGCCATTGCAAAGCGATCGTTTTTGCGATCGCAAAAACAGCATCACAAAGCGATTTTGCTATGCGGATCAATCGCTATGCGAGGCACCACTGTAATAATATCCAGGATTGTAATCAGGAAAATGCTTGGCTCAACAGTCCATTTTTAATAGGCAGGGAAATTGTTAAAGATGCTTAATAGTGCAAGCGGGCAGGGTCATCCCACAAAGTGGCACCACAGAAGAGCAGGTGCTGCTGAGCACTGTAACCACTAGAGCCTAACATGTCCATCCCTGCAGCAGGCCAGACAGTGGACTAGGCACCCGTTTGATCTCTGATCACATCCTGAGATGGACAGCATGGGTTTTCATTAGCAAAGCAAAGAAGGCAGTCTCAGACATCTTTGCCCTGATCTCCTGATGTGGTATGCCATCAAGTTGCCTCCAGATTCAAGGAACCCTACAAATGATCTCCAAAAGCTCTTCCATTAACAGCACAGGCCTTGCAAACTCAACTCATCTCCAAAAGCTCTTGCCATTAACAGCACAGGCCTTGCAAACTCAACACCATAGTTTCATGTATTGAGATTCTCTCTCTGATGTTCACTCTTCCTCTTTATCTGCTGTCTTCAACTTTTCCGAGCATTATTTTCTTTTCCAACAAGTCTTATCATGACATGTCCAAAACGGGATAGTCTCACTTGGTCATTTTTGCTTCTAGAGAGAGTTCTGGCTTGATCTGATTAAGAACTTCCCTATTTACAGTACTGTATCTTTTTGGTGATCCACAATTTCTGTAAAGCTCCCCTCCAATACCACATTTCAAATGAATCATTTTCTTGTTAACTTTGGTCACATTCTAGCTTTCTGATCTATGCCTGGCAAAACGGGATAGTCTCACTCGTTCATTTTTGCTTCTAGAGAGAGTTCCGGCTTGATCTGATTAAGAACTTCCCTATTTACAGTACTGTATCTTTTTGGTGATCCACAATTTCTGTAAAGCTCCCCTCCAATACCACATTTCAAATGAATCATTTTCTTGTTAACTTTGGTCACATTCTAGCTTTCTGATCTATGCCTGGTAACTGAGAATATCATATTATGGATGAGCTTGGTTTTGGTCTCCAGCAACACATTCTTAGTCTGAAGAACCATTTCTAGTTCCTTCATAAGTGTCCTTCAGAATCTAGGTCTTCTGATTTCCTGCAGCTTCCGTTTGGATTAATGTTGAACTAAGGTATAGAGAATCTAAAAGTATTTTGATTCTTCATTGTCAGCATTAGTAAAGTCACATAATTGTTCTATACTTATTTTGGTCTTCTTAATGTTCAACCATAATCCTGCTTTTGCACTTCTTTCTCCTTCATCATGAGTTGTTCACTGCTTTCTGCCAGTTGTATAGTATCAACTGTGTATCTTAAATCAGTTACCTTTCTTCCATCAGCGTTCACTCCTCTTTCCCCTGACTCTAATCCAGTTTCTCATGTGATATGTCCTGCATACAGATTGAATATATAGTGAAATAAAATATTTTTTTAGATCCACACAGTCAAAGGCTTTGCTATAATCTGTAAAACATTGGTGGCCTTTCTTTTGGAGCTCTTTGGTGTGTTACAGTAGCCAGTGTATACTCGTAATATAATCTCTATTACCTTTTCCTTTTCTGAATCCAGCTTGGACATCAAATATATCTTACTCCATATAGGGTAAAAGTTTGTTTCACAAAATGTTGAGCATCACTTTGCTTGCGTGGCAGACTAATTTGGTGATCCTGTACTTACTGCACTCGTTAGTGTCTTCTTTGGAACTGGGGTTATATTGAATATTTAGTCTGTGTGCCATTGGTTTTTTTCCTTCCCATATTTATTGGCAAATTCTTGTTAGGATTTCAAGCCACAGATTCAATCTCTGTGGCTTGAAATAGTTCTGCCGGTATTCCATCTATTTCCACAGTGGCAAAGAGCATTTGCCATGGCTACATGGAGCCCAAGCTGTCTAGGGCCATATACGATAAAAAATACCTCAAACCTGGTTCAGAAATCAGTTGACAACAAGTGTATGCCTTGCACCATAGGAGTTAAATGTTTATGATGAACGTTTCCACAGAGTTGCAGCCTTCAAACTAAGTGTGGTGTTACAGCAATTCGTTGTTTAAGTTTTAAATGGACAGATCACGGACACCATGTTAGTCTTGTCCAGAAATGGTCATAGCTGGTGGTAGGTGCTTTTTGCTACCCAGAACACTTTGTCCTATAGTGAAAAAGATGACTCCAAGGGTACCCGCAGACCATGTGCCTGTTCCTGTAGGGGAAATGCTAATGTAGGATAGTTCCCTTTTTTGCAAATGAAAAAGGGACGAAGACAACTGTTATTATATTCTGGATTAGATCTGGTTTTAGCTTTCTAGGTCAAACCCAGTGGGAAGTGAGTGATTAGCCATGGAGCTATTATCTAGGATCACATAAACGCACCACACACCCTGCAGCAAAGTTTAGGCAAATCTGGCAGGGGCTGGTTAGGAAGAAGCCTGACCCCATAACCAGATCTTTTGCATGATTAGTCATGCTATGAAAAAAATGTTTTATCCTAAATAAGATCACAAAGCAACTTTCCTCGTCTCTTGTGTGCGCGCCAGATATGTTAGATTACAGTTCCTGTTTTCCTTGACCAACATCACTGATGGCTGTGCTGGTTCAGGGTGAAGAGCATTGTTGTAGTCTAACGTTTGGAGAATGAGCACCAGGTTGGTAAATGCCATCATAAAGAATGAAAATAATCAACATTTAGATTATGAGAAGGCTACAGCATTTATACGGTAGAAATAAAGAGGGAAAAAGAGACAAGAAAGCATCATGTTTACAGAGATCTGAAAGGAGGAAAGCTCTAGGTGGACAGGGAAAAGGACCTTTATGTTCGACCCAATGGATTCTGAACTTTCTTCGGGGTTATCCTTGAACAACCATCTTCGTGTTTGACCCAATGGATTCTGAGCTTCGGGGTTATCCTTGAACAACCATCTTCCAATAGGGATTTCAGGAAGAAGGTACCAAATACACTGAT